GGACCTATACAAAGAAAACTACAAAACACTGCTACAAGAAACCAAAAGAGACCTACAAAAATGGAAGAATCTACCATGCTCCTGGATAGGAAGACTTAACATTATGAAAAAGTCAATATTGCCTAAAGCAATTTACACACATAATGCAATCCCAACCTAGATTCCAATGACATTCTTCAAAGACATGGAAAAAACAATTACAAACTTTATATGGAAAGGAAAGAGACCCAGGATATGCAAAGCACTGCTTAAAAAGAAGAATAAGGATGGAAACCTCTCACTCCCTGAGTTCAAATTTTATTACACAGCTACAGTGGTCAAAACAGCCTGGTACTGGTCAAAACAGCACTGATCAAAGGAACAGAACGGAGAATCCAGAAATTAACCCATCCACATACAGCCAACTGTCGATATAAGTCACTAGACAACAAACTGCAACCCTGTACAAGGTTTCTGAGAAATGCCTAATAAGCTTGAACCTGCGATCCTGCAGTTCAAACCGATCTTGCAGTCCAGTGCATTAACTCATAGCGCCACAACCTCAGGACTCTATACAACAACATATAGCTACAGTAATACAAACACCTGGTACTGGAAATTCACAGTCCAGAAAAAAACCTACACATCTATGGCCAACTGATTTTGACAAGAGTAAGTCCATTCCAAAAGGAAAGAATTTCCTGTGCTAGGAAAACTGGACATCCATACTTTAAAAAATTATAGATTCCATGCCTCACACCATACACAAAAACAAATTCCAAATGGATTAAGGATCTAAATTTGAAAACTAAAATCTTATCTAACTCTTTTGCTTTTGTTTTAAACTCTTTATTATGAATTGAGTGAAGGTTTACAAAGAAAAACATAGTTTTACATTCAACAAATCCTACACTATTTGATCTTAATGACTGCAATACCCTCTGTACAACAAAAGTTATCTCAGTTCCTCCCTGAGGTTCCTATTTCCATTCTATCCTCCTTCCCATCCCTTCTCAACTTTGTCCTTATGTAAATGTTGTACTTTTGATCTTGAATGATTGGTCATTCCATGGTAAGCATATCTGACTAGTGTTGTTGTTCCTCCTACGTACCTATCTATTGCTCAGCTGAAACTTAAGACACAAAGGTGAGTTCCCCTCCAGACCTGAAGGGTGCTCAAGGAGTATATTCTCAGGTTCCTCCAGTCTCTTTCTGACTAGTAAATTCAGACTTGCTTGTAATTTTAAGTTTCGTCCCACATTTTTTCTACCCATCTGAGACCTTCTAATGTGATCCCTATCAGAGCAGTTGGTAGTGGTAGCCAGGTACCATCTAGTTCTTCTGGTTCCAGTCTTGGTGACTGATGGTCATATATTCCATTGGTCTACTAGACTAGTTAGTTGATTCTAAGCATCTTCAAATTTTTGTCACTCTGCACATGGAACGACCCATAGTTGCATCTTATAAAACCACTCATCAGCTTAAGATTCCAGTCACTTCTCAGCGAAGTAGGATGTAGAACATTGTCTTTGTGAACTGTAGTATGCCAATTGATCACGGCGTCCTCTGAGACTATGGTCCAGAGGCCCCAAGTTCAGCAGCATATTGCCTTAAAATACTGGACAACACCTAAGACGTTTTCATAATTTTGTCCCCTGTGTGTTCC